GTTCAGCCTAAGGAACCAAATTTTATTGCGAAACGCAAAACATTTTAGCTGCTTATAGTCCATCAACAGTCAATAAACTGCGGTAAAGTTTGCAACCTGTTTGATCCGGCCACCCAAATTTGTGTTATCGGGTTTGCACAAAGCACGGTAATATTTCAGCCGCTCTGATGATGTCTCAACCAAAGCGATCGAACATGACTGGACGTGAGGTTTGGAAGCAACCAAATCAGTGAACAATGAGTGCTAATCGGTTGGCGTATTAAAAGGCCCTCTAACGTAAGCCCTGTAGATTGTCTGGAGGTCTATGCGAGTAATACTGGGGAAGGTAAACTGGATCACCCGTAGAAATCGGATAATTTTTGGGACGACTATACATTGAGCCGTCTAACTTAAGCCCTGTAGATTGTCTGGAGGTCCATGCAAGTAATGCTGGGGAAGTTAAACTGGATCACCCGCAGAAGTCGGATAATTTTTGGGACGACTATACATTGTGAAGTGGAGTGGACGTCTTTGAAGAGAACCATAGCACTATATACTTTTGAATGTCTATCCCCATATTTTTGGGCGCAGTCTCATGATGCACGACAAATTTGTTTGTTGATTCCTCGACGAATTACACATTGGACTACTTTTCATCACTCAGGGGAAGGTGCCAATCGAAAGACCACGGCTTTACAACGCTTTGGAGGTGACTGGAGCTTTTGGAGCAGCGCAACGTATGGGACTTCAACAGGTACTTTTGGAACTCGAAGGCTGTGGCATATGTTATGAGTAATTTATTCCTAGCTTGGGGCAAGCTGCCCATAAACAAGCATGCTGGTCATCCAAGAACGGTTTGGAAGAAATCCACGTTGCGCTGGGGATGTCAAGTTGTTGGTGGTTAGGTGATGTAAGATGGCCCGCATCTGAATGCGTTTGATCACCTGGAGGGGCTCATAGGCCCGAAGCTGCCGGGCGACATTCGGTTACCAGTTTTGTAAACTGGCTTGACAAACACATTCTCCTAAGCTAACGGATGGTTGCCTTCGTTGAGTGACTGAAGGAATACCAGAGGAAAATACTTTTGCAGTATGAGTGACGTCTTCTTCGTGATCTTCGAATGAACCTCTCGCTGAAGGGGTTTGTCTGGCGCAAACGTTGACAAATGTGAAGAACTCGTTGGTTAGAGGCAGTTTGTAGTTACAAGAGGTCGCTGAGGCACAGTACAGGCCTACGTAGTGTTCTCTATAGACCTAAGATATCACTATTGGATCACTAACGGGTTCATCTTTCCTGCTTCTGAAGGAAAACGCGGTTGGCTAACTTCTATAGCGCTGTCCCATATACTTAATTTGGCATATTATTTTCCAGTCAAGGTCTTGTATGGTGGCTTGTTTTTGTACGTTCCTTTGGCGGAATTTCGATTTACCGCGGTTCCTTATTTTGCGAAAAGCCAGGTGGTCTTCCGTATCACCGGTGATTTCCTTTTGGTTACCTGTTCCAGAAGATGCCAAATCCAGCTGCGCTCTCACTCCTTGGGAGGAATATCGCGTCAGCCCCGTGAATTTTTCCTAGGACGCCTCCTCTATCACTCTTTTGATAAAGGTGGTCGCCGGTTAAATTGCTCAAGAAAACTACTAATTTCTGAAAAGTCTGCATGACAGACTTGTCAGTCGTCCCACGGTATCGTTCGGGATTTCGCATCGTTTCATATAACCGTTAAATTGTGGTCAATTGAGAACAAAGCGCTTCACCGATTACACGTTAGTTGGGAGACCGACAGCATCGGAGTTGCAGTTTTTTATCCCTAAGTAAAGAAGAGAGCTTGGCCCATAGTGAAGTTTTAAACACTAATATTCCAATCCTGGAGCAGCTGTGCTTAGGAAAAGTGTACACGAATCATACTCCTCTACTTGTGTGGGTTTAACTTGGCCTAGCTTCATCTTAGTGAGTACTTTACAGGCCGGATCATGAGAAACATATACGGACATCCAAATGTAAAACCACAAGTTTCCCCCAAGTTCAACAGTTGGACTTCCATGGCACGTAAACCAAAAGTGGCTCATTGCTTGTTGTGCGCATGTAGCTTTCAAACATCGCACAACACAGGCGCAAGTCGCGATGTGATATGAGTGAGAATGGCGATGTTTTCTGTCGCTAGGCTGTCAGCGATATTGCAGTCTGAAATACATTGGGGATTTCAGGAGTGCGTCACCAATGAAATGACGGGACAGTGAGGATCGTTTAACTGATGCTTCCCCGGCTATTGAAGGGTTGTGACGAAAAGCCTCAGAAGGAGAATAGTGAGTAATGGTTTGTTTAAAGCGTAACAAATGTGGAGTGCATCGACCATGACATGTATGGAGCAACTGATGCCTTTCGGTTAATTCCCGAAAAAACTGGCATTTCACAGATTCCTCAGGAGGAAGGTAAACCAAATTGAATTTATAACTCGGACCAATGGCCCGTCCCCCAAACGAGTCCCATGTATGCTACCACGCGAGAAGTGGTCTAAAACGGCCCTTCAACGTCGTAATTATCATCCGCATCACTCTCGAACTATTGTACTCTCAGGTGGACACTAGAGCGTCTCATATCCTCGAGCAGATTTGAGTGTCCAATGCATGTCCCTGAGATGAAATGCACTTTGGCTGAAGCATTTAAAGGTCTTGAAAAAAGTTAGCGGTGAATATCTGTTGCAATTTGTGTCTTTAATCTGCTCACTTCGTACTTCTTTTCAGTGTTATTCGCGCAGGAGGAAGCCCCGGAGCAACTTGAGTTCTGTTGCGTTGGCATGTCACTGTGGAACTAATGGCCCTTCAATTTCGATCACTCGTATGGTCGAACTTTTCACAGGGCTGTGCTTACCCTTTACACGAATGTACGTTTCCTGTTGGATTTCCGATGAGGATACACTATGTAACTTTCCAATGTGGCTTACTTCGGAGAACGAAATGACTCTATCTTCATAATTCGTGGTGCACACTCTCTGAGGGCTGGATACGCACCATCTCTACCACTTCACATTTGGACTCAACGACCGTTGTGCGACCAGTTTACAGTTCAACGCTAAGTCATTCAGACGCCGTTTTTGCCTATTGTAAAGGCCATTTGGGCACTGACCGGCAGAACGCCTGGATTCAGAATGTTGCCGGACCCACTGATATCGCGCAGGCAACCTTCCACCCCTACCACATGTGGTTATCACCAGCAAAGATCCAGTGGTTGATCACTCATTAACTAAGACTCCTCTTGGACACAATGATTACTGTGTGCTCATTTCGATTTCACCTGCTACTGAACCAGCAACCAGGAACATCAAACTCGGATTCAAAATTTCTGCCGCACGTAATTCTTTCCAATCCTCATCTTCCATGACCAACTTAAACCGAGGCCACCATTTGTGTCGGAGGTACACGGAATCAGCGTCAAGTAAGTCAGTCGGGTTGATGCGATTTTCATTTCTAGCCAAATATAGGACGCCTAAAAGGATTTGGTGCCTTGTGGAAGCGTGCTTTTATGCGTTTTAAAAAAAAGATGAGTTCGGGAGACGGAAGAGCAGACGATATTACGTGAATTGCGGAATTGCTGTGATTGAGGAATCCACCAGCGAAACTTACAAGAAGATGCAACAGAACCAAATGTTACCCAGAAAAACAAAATATACTTTCTAAATTCACTAGACGGCCGAGGAAGGAAACCGAAGGCATTATACCTGAGGTACCTTAGTCTACCTGATGTCTGCAAATGCTATTACGCAGACCTGTGTTCTGCCCTACTGAACTCATCACAGAATCTTGCAAAGGCATCAAAGCGTGCGTCCTCTAATCGGATCGATGTTCGCAATGAAAGATTTTTGCAAACTTCTGCGTGAGACGAATTCATTCGGTTCTTTGAGGCTAGACGGGGTCCGTTCAAGACTACTGAGGGAAACACCGCGCAGATTAGCAATGCATTTCCGACTGATGTTCTGTCAAGTCGATTGACGAAAAAAACCTCTCCGTTTGCCACATCCTTTTGCAAATCTAGTGACCGACTATCATCCAGCAGCATCAGGCCAACTTGCTTCACTAGCACCCCATGTAAGTTGACGTCACTTATCCAAAAAATGGGCTATTTATTTTCAGTTCACCACAGAAAACTCACTCTGCCAACGCAACACCGAGTCCATTAAGTTCATTCTTGCGTGAAGAACGTGTTCGTATTATTAGGCAGATTAACAGAAGCCTAAACCGAGTAACTGAATTCAAACGTCAAATCTATTTGTTCAGCCTGCTACAAAAGCGGACCGAAAAAGCGAAACTCTGCTGTGAAATAATTCTCTTGCTGTGGTCGCTCCCGAAGGGACCTGCAAGTTTGTTCAGCTTTGTTCGAGAAGGGATTGGTTGACAGTTTTGTTACCGATGACCAGTGTAACGCATAACGAGTATAAATTAAGAAGGTATTTTTGTTCGGGCGCACAATTTTATTCCGAAACGTCGTTCCCATTTTCCATCGTTTGCAATAGTCTACCTTCAACGGTTAGTCCAACTGAATTTGGAATGGAGTTCTGATACCTGTAGAACGATTCTAGCAATCTTCGCGTCAAGCAGCTTATTGATAACTGCTGGAATTCTAAAGAATTATGCTTCGCACATTTTCACCCGTATCTTTCAGGCAATCGGAGGTCGTTGGAAGAAAAGAGTGGATCCAAATAGAGGAGCGAGAGTGAAGAATCGATCCCGTGTATCACTTCTGACACCATGAACGGCTCCACCAAACTCTAAATTGTGGCACATTTTGCTTGAAGACTATATGTCGGCGTGGTGCGTGGTGATTACCATTCTGGTCATATTGCTGATTAGGGGTCAGCCTAGTTGAAAAGCACGCAAATCATCTCCGTGCAACTGAGAGAGCCCACAGTTGCAAAAATAGCTCTATATGGTGGTCAGTTCTGCTGACACAAGCGATCAACAGGGTTAGTCGGCGAGCGGCAATGGTCGCGGAGTTCACAGTACTTTCGTGCGGACTGCCACTTAGGATTCCAACGACTGCTTCAACCCCACTACAACACTACGTTACGACATCAGTTGCATCAAATTAGGGTGCTCAAAGCACACTGTGGTCTTGTGCCTATCACAAACTTGGTCAATATCCTGGAGTTTGTGTAGCCCTAAACATAATTACTGTGGCCAGGGAAACAGTGGCTATGTTTTCACCCGCTGTGGTATATTTAGTTGCGTAGCCACCTGATGGATGAAGATTCACCTACGCAAATCATACGCATAAACATGAAGATCAAGCCGTAAAAAAATTGGATACCGAGTGTTAGGATAACTAAATGCTGGTCACATTGATCGAAGTTGTTGTTGAGGCTCACCAAGTGTTCGAGAACATTTATAAGTGTGAAAATGAAGACTAAGTTTTACAATCATCAAATTTATCACTCAACAAACTGATTGTTCAAGGGTTTGGGCTGAAGTGCCACAGAAGAATGACACACAACAGTGTGCAATCTGACTTGAGCGGCACAGATTCCTGTACTAAATTATTCAGACAGGTAATCAATCAGAGCCAGTGAAACTATAATGGAATCTGGACTTCTTCACAGCCTCCGGTGATTCTACTTGGGTTCTAAGGAGTTCTTATAGCAACTGAAAGTTCTGACGCATGACTATAAACTTCAAAGGAGCAAGACGCATTCCGCAGTATGATAATGATGCAGATCAATTTATTCATATCTAATTTAGTTTGCAGCTCAAATCCCGGTCGCTC